CAAAAAATATAGAACTGGTATGATAATGAAAATTAACCTTAAACAAAGTCAGAGCAGTTGCATAAAAGATAATATTTTCCAAAATCTGTGGACTCCAGACAAAAGTAGAGAGACAGGTACAAAGTTAAAAAAAGCTACTATAATTTGATGACTATAATGTTATACTTACATTTTTGACCTTTAATAAGAAAGGAACACCAAAGGTTGAATAGATTTCCTGAAATATAAAGAAAACTATTAAGATCATATTCTTTATTTCGTTTATTATGGAGTTTGTTTTACATTAGACCTTCCCTTGTCTGTCTCCATGAATCACTGTTGGTGAGCGAACATTTACCATATGTTTTGAAGCAGTAATAATTTATAGGTAATAATAATGAGAGAAATCCCAAGTGACAAGACTGAAACAAACCTTCTGAAAATGTGCCACTGGAATAAGAAGTTCATCATCAGCTAGTTCATCTTCATCTTTGGGGATTTCTTCAATACGATATGTTTTAGTACCAGCAGCAGGGTTAAATGTGTCTAATGTTGTAAATTCTTTTTGAACAGCTAATATCTTATAACTTATAATATCTAATAATCTGAAATAGAAAGTTATATAAATGTAATGTTTAACATGTGTTATAAGTTATATCTTATCTGAAATATAGAGTTCAAATAATCCACTATAACATGTGTTATAACTTATCTAATAATCTGAAATAGAAAGTTATATAAATGTAATGTTTAACATGTGTTATAAGTTATATCTTATCTGAAATATAGAGTTCAAATAATCCACTATAACATGTGTTATAACTTATCTAATAATCTGAAATAGAAAGTTATATAAATGTAATGTTTAACATGTGTTATAAGTTATATCTTATCTGAAATATAGAGTTCAAATAATCCACTATAACATGTGTTATAACTTATCTAATAATCTGAGATATAAATTTATATAGATATAATGTTTAACATGTGTTATAAGTTATATCTTATCTGAAATATAGAGTTCAAATAATCCACTATAACATGTGTTATAACTTATCTAATAATCTGAGATATAAATTTATATAAATATAATGTTTAACATGTGTTATAAGTTATATCTTATCTGAAATATAGAGTTCAAATAATCCACTATAACATGTGTTATAACTTATCTAATAATCTGAGATATAAATTTATATAAATATAATGTTTAACATGTGTTATAAGTTATATCTTATCTGAAATATAGAGTTCAAATAATCCACTATAACATGTGTTATAACTTATCTAATAATCTGAGATATAATTTATATAAATGTAATGTTTAACATGTGTTATAAGTTATATCTTATCTGAAATATAGAGTTCAAATAATCCACTATAACATGTGTTATAACTTATCTAATAATCTGAGATATAATCTATATAAATGTAATGTTTAACATGTGTTATAAGTTATATCTTATCTGAAATATAGAGTTCAAATAATCCACTATAACATGTGTTATAACTTATCTAATAATCTGAGATATAAATTTATATAAATATAATGTTTAACATGTGTTATAAGTTATATCTTATCTGAAATATAGAGTTCAAATAATCCACTATAACATGTGTTATAACTTATCTAATAATCTGAGATATAAATTTCAAACAACCCAATGTAAACTTTGATTTTTACATACTGACACTCTCAAAAGCACAGACATTGGCATCAGAATCTCATCTAGAATATCTGAACACCTTGCAGACGACAATCTAACTAACTTCTTGCTT